TCTCTCTTCCACGGCGTTCCTGAAAGCCGTCGCCCACGAGGCCAGCTCCTTCTGAAGGCCACTGTTGCCGACGAGGAGCGTGATGTTGTCGGACTCCTGCACCAGGAAGGGCGAGTTCCATGTCTCAGAGTCGCAGTCAGGCACCTCGGCGATGATATCCACACGTTTCACATCAGCCCACGTAGCCTCGAAGATCGGCCTTCTCGTCTGAACTTCATCTTGAAGTGGTTGCTTGGCCTTGGCCCTGATCGCAGCTGCCGCCTGCGCCGCCTCCTCTCTGACTTTCTGGAGGGCCAACTGCTGGGCCTTCTTCTCCTGATCCTTCCTCTCGCGTTCAACTCGTTTCCTCTTCTGTGTCACATGAGATTCGATATACCCGCATGTAGTCTTGACAGATCCAATCAGCTCGGTGGCGATGGAGATGCACTGCTCCCATGTCTCCATGAAGTCGCCGAGCTCATCGGACGTGTTGACTTCCCAGATGCCCTCCTCCTGCATGGTCTGCATCTCGATGCGCGACTTGATGTTCGCCGGGTCGCCTCCGAACGGTTTCCTGGCCTTCTCCCTCTCGGCGAGATCCTTCAACGATATCTCCACCATCTCAGTGTCTGACAGGATCGCAGGCGAGCATCCGCCAGGAGTCGAGGCAGCAGACGCGCATCCAGGCGATGTCGCAGCGGAATTGCCATCGTCCGCGCCGAGGTTGAACAGCTTGACGACCTTGTGCAGGCCCTTCCATTTGAGAGCGAGCTGCCAACGAGACTGGAGACTCCTGATGTATGACAACAGTGGCTTGTCGTCGTTCGTCTCCGTCACGGGGATGGCCTTCAATAAGTTCATGATCTGCTCCACCTTGGCCTTGTTCGATGAGAACAGGTTGTCGATCTTCACGAGGTCTGTCGTCATGGTGCCGTGGACCTTCGGGATGTCGCGCTCGATCACGTAGGACTTGATGGTTCGCCTCTTCTTCCCAGAACTTGATCCAGGATCTCGCGGTGAGTCTTTCTTGCCACCAGACGTTTGTTCGAGGATATCTTTTCTCTTCATCACCCTTTGCAGCTCCAACTTGTTCGTGAAGAACCCGTCAGCAGTCGAAGCAGTCGACTCCTGGACGAACTCCTTGATCGAGTCGGCCTCGCCCTCGGACATGTTCTTCTGCTCCGCGCCCTTCTCCACGAAGGCGTTCTCGATGCTCCTGCGGCTCCCCCGCTCGCGCTCAGGACCGACGGGAATCCAGAGCTGCTTTCGACCTTTGAAACCCTTGTTGTCCCTGTCCACCCTGGGGTTCGAGTCCAGCTCCTCCCACCACTCTGTCCCCTCACTCTCAGTGAGGCCCAGCACGGTCATACAGTGGCAATGGAAGGCTTGCCGGGTCATTGGTTTGTCGACGTCTCTGTCGGTGGTGAACGTGTCGGACTTATGCGATTTCTGAAACTGGCTTGGTTGAATGATGTTCTTCCTGGCGTACTTCTTATCAGAAGGGTTCGCCTTCGCAGCTCCGCAGGCAAGGGTTCGGATTGCGCCCAGGGCTCTCTGGGGTCGATTTTCGGTCGGTCGAAAAGCCGAAAACACCAGCAGTTCAGTCCAAGACCAGTCCAGAGAACACGGTACACAACAGTACAGATTGCACACATTGGTGTGCTACCAAGTCCCCTTTGAGAGCCCTTGCGCAATCCGAATATTTGCCCCGACGCCTCAGCAAACGCGTTGATCTTCTCAGCCAGGGAGGTGTCGTCCTTCTTGGCCTCCTGCGGCGGGAGAGCAAGCAGAATCTAAACACTGCGCGTGGCCCTGGGCACCAGTCCACAAACGAAGCCATTTTCGAACATTCAAACATTCGGCCCAGGTCCCGACGGCGGCCAACGTAGGAACGATACGTTTCAACTCCGCTCGCTCCTCCCACTCTGCCTTGGACTCATCTGTCGCCGTCTTGGCTCTCGCCATCTTCCACTCCAGCGTGTCGTGGTAACGCTTGTGGATATCGCAGAACTTGTAGCGCTCCCCCAGGCGATCCAGCGGGCAACAGGTGCACGCCTTCACCGTGTCCGAGGTGGAAGAAGCAGCTGCTTTCCGTCCGCCGCGGCCGCGGCCGCGGCCGCGGCCGCGGCCGCGTCCTAGTTGAACTTCCTGGCCCGCACCAGCGTGCTGCGACTCTGACAGCGATGGCTGCTCTGATGCATCCCCGCCAAACGTCACCTCCTCTTCGTCCATGGTGTCTGCGCCAGCCGGGAAGCAGCAGCGTTCGGGTCGGGCGCGCACAAGGAAGTGCCGAAAACAGTACTTGAGCCAAAACGGCTACGCCAC